GGGGTCAAATAAAATGGAAAGTATTATTGCAATTTTCTTGTATTTATTGAGTCTTCCATTGTGTCCCAGTATGTGGTCAATTTTGCAGTAAGTTCCATGGGGTGCAGAGAAGAAGGTATGTTGTTTTTGTTTGGGTAAAATGCTTTACAAATATGTGCTATGTCTATCTGACTTATGACATTATTTAAGTACAACATTTCTCTGTTTAGTTTTTGTCTGGATGATTTGTTTGTAGGTAAGAATGGGATATTGAAGTCACCCAGTTTCACAGTGTAAGGGTTAATAAGTGATTTTAGCTTTTCTTTCATGAATTGATATGTCCTTATGTGTATAAATGTTTAGAACTGCAATATCCTCTTGATGGATTTTTACTTTGATGAGTATATAGTGTCCTTCCCTGTCCCTTCTGATTAGCTTTTGTGTGAAGTCTATTTTTCAGATAATGATTACCTCTGCTTGCTTCTTTAATCCATTTGTTTGGAACCTCTTCTTCCATCCTTTACTATGAGATATTTTCTTGGGTGTGGTTCACCTATTTGGATTTAAATTTTCTTTTAAATGCCTTCTATAGAGCTATATTTGTTGATAGATGCTGCTCACATTTAGTTTTTGTTTCTTGTATTTTGTGACTGATAGTTTTGCTAAGTATAGTAAACTGGATGGTTATATGTGGTCTCTTAGAGTTTGTAGAACATCTTTCCAGTCCTTCTAACCTTTAGAGTGTCCATTAAGAAGTCTGGTGTTGCCAGGCAGTGGTGGTGCACACCTGTAATCCCAGCAATAGAATGGTAGAGGCAGGAGGAATTCTGTGAGTTCGAGGCCAGCCGGATCTTAAAAGTGAGTTTTAAGACAGCAAGAGTTATGCAGAGAAGCTCTGCCTCAAACAAAAACAAAAACAAAAGTCAGGTGTCATTCTAATGGGCCTGCCTTTGTATGTTATTTGCTCTTTTCCCTTTATAGCTTTTAATATTCTTTCTTTGTTCTGTACATTTAGTGTTTGATTATCATGTGTCATGGAGAATTTCTTTTTTATTCCTGTCTGTTTGGTGTTCTATGTGTTTGTAATACTTTGAAAGACACCTTCTTCTTTAGGTTAGCAAAATTTTCTTCTATGATTTTATTGAAAATGTATCCTGTGATTTTGCCTGAGTTTCTTCCCCTTCTGTTATCCCTAGTATCAATATATTTAGTCTTTTCATGGTGTCCCTCATTTCCTGAATGGTTTTGTGGCTAGGAATTTTTTATATTTAATGATTACTATGGCTGTAGAATCCATTCTTGTAACTTATCTTCAACTTTTGAGATTCTCTCTTCCAAGTCTAGTACTCTATTGGTGAGGCTTACCGATGATGTTCTAATGTTTTATTTCCTAAGCTTTTAATTTCCATTTTTCCTCAGTTTTGGTTTTCTTTAGTGATCTTGTTGTTTCTTCATTGTGATTTGTTAAATTCTTCTTTCATGGCATGAGTTCTTGTCACTATATTCATTCCACTAATTGTGTTTTCAGATTCCATTAAAGAATTTACCCACACACAGTTTAAGTCCTTGAACATATTCCTAATAGTTTTCAAGTACATTTGTGCCTCAACTATATTACATATCTTAGAGCTAATTCTAGTTGGCTGCCGGGTTTGTGTGGTAGCATCCTGTCCTGACTTTAGGTATTTGTGTGTTTTGCTGGTGTCTAGACATCTGGACTTGCCTTTATTGCACGGGTGTTCCATTCCTAGTTTCTGTTATTCTTTCTGGATTTTGTCAATGTCTGGTGGCTGTGGGTGGCCCAGTAGGGAGTGCTTGTGCCTGTGATTACATGGCAGAGAGGGATAGATGTGGGCAAAAGAAAAGGCTGAATGGGATTTCAGAGCTAAGGGATCCTCTTCACACCTAGGATTGGGGTCCATACAGAGTAAGAAGTGGTAGAAAGAGGGTATTCTGAAAGTAGGCTAATGTAAACCAAGGAATTATCTGAAAAGACAGAGGTATTAGGGGACCCTGTGTCTGAACCAAGAGCAAGAGTCTCCAGGGAATTGAAGTGAGACAAAGGGATCCTGTAAGCACGTTGTTACTGGGTGTGGGTGAGAATGGAAAGATCATAATGGAGGGCAGGAAGGCTAGTGAATCCCTATCAGAATCTCTACCAGTTGTGATTACTGGGGGTCCTGTCAAAAGCATTTCTGGGTGCTAAGATTTGACAGGAAGGAATGAGCATGGGCTCGGTGCACAGGAATGCAGATGAGAGCGTCTACAGAAAGAAGAGCTGGGTTCACTCCAAGGTTTGGTGGAGTCCTACAACTTGAGTGTGGAACTGGAGGTGAAGCCCCTTCAACCAGGCTACTATAGGGCTGGGAATAAGATTGAAGAGTTTGGAATGGGGGTCAGGAATAAGAGTGAGAAATACCTACCAGTCCTAGCCTGTTGTGGTCCTGTGGGTCCCTGATAGAAGGTTTTCATAGGTGTCTGTGACTGACTTAAGGGGATGGGAAGCGGCTAGATAAAGAGTGTAGCACTTTTTCAGCTCCTCTGTAAGTCTAGAATTCTTCCAAAATTCTATTAATGACAACAAATAATATTAGATTATGACAATATTTTTACAACATCCAACAATGGTAACTAAAAATGAAAACATGGGAAATTTTTGTCCTAATAGTTATGCAGTCATATTAAAAATATTAAGGAAGGTAGAATTTAAAAAATAAAAGTGCTTACACTGTTTCTTAATTTTCAATAAACATAAACCATTTGAACACCTGTTTGTTTTTATAAAAATACCAAGCTGTATTCATTACTGTAACTCTATAATAGAGCTTGATGTCAGGGATGTTGATGCCTCCAGAAACCCCTTTATTGTACAGGATTTTTGGCTATTCTGAGGTTATTTTTTATATGTAGTTGAATATTGTTCTTTCGAGGTCTGTAAAGAATTGTGATGTGTGATTCACTTCTGTATGCTGTGAATATGTTTTATTACCATTGGGTAATAAAGAATTTCCTTTGGTCTATGGCATGGTAGAATATAGCTAGGAAGCAATTTCAAGCAGAGATAGAAGAGAAAAGAAGGTGGAGTCAGGGAGATGCCACCAAAACAGTACCAGTAAAGCCACATCCTTGTGGATAAACACAGATTAATAGAAATGGGTTAATTTTATGTTATTATTCAGATATCAGTGCCCAGGAAACAAAAAATCAGTGTCTGATTACAGAATGGCATCCAACAGTAGGCAACGTACATCCACATAAAGCCCCAGAGAACTTAGAAAAATGGTTTCCACAAGCACAAAAAATGTTAATCAACTGGAGTATCTTGGTTGCCCCATATTTTTGAGAGAGGCTCTGTTTTCTGGCAGCTAACAGAGGTACTGTTCCTTTAAGAGACATCTACCTGGTTCTAGCTAATGGCAGGAATGGATCTGGATCTTTAGGGGTGCTCTGTTACAGAACATTTAAATGGGATTTGTAAGTGGCAAAGTTGTTTAGTGGTGGTGACTTAGTCACAGTATATCCATGGAGCTGGGGTGGTGAACATGGGGCTCACAGTGTAAACATACCTCTGGAATATTGAAAGGCTGAGGGGCAGAGCCAGCATCCAGGTCACAGCCACCATAACCCTTAGCATTTTAAAATAATACTCCTTGTCAGAAAAGTATTTTAGATATACAATAGGGCAAATTCAGACATAGTAGGTCTCTGAGTAAGACACAGTGTGTTTTTAAAATGTACATAGGCTTGGAAGAGAGAGAATAAACATTATAGATAGTTATAAAATGAAATAGTTTAAAAAAATACAACAAAGTCTTTAAAGATACATTAAAATAATATCAAGAGGCACATAAAGATGGAAAACACACAGGGTCTGGATTATGTGTATTATTGTGTTTCCTTTAAATTTATTGAATAAATTAATAATTTCTTTCATTTTATTTTTTAAAAAGAAAACAAACTATTTTATTCATTTTACATAACAATCCCAATTCCCACTTCCTCCCCTCCTCCCATTCCCTTCACTTATTCCCCCACACCACCCACCATGCACTCCTCAGAGAGGGCAAGGGACATTGCTTTGTGGAAGGTCCAAGGTCCTACGCACTATATCCAGTCTAAGGAAGGTAACATTCCAAAGAGAATAGGTTCCCCCAAAACCAGGACAAGCAGAAGGGACAAATCCTGGTGCCATCCCAGTGGCCTACAGTCTGCTCCAGGCATACAACTGTCACCCACATTCAGAGGGACTAGTTTGGACCTATGCTGATCTGTTCCTGTTCAGCTGGAGTTGGTGAACTCCCACAAGGTCAGGTGAACTGTTTCAGTGTGTGTCCCCATCATGGTCTTAAGCTCTTTGCTCATCTTCTCACTCCTCCCACTCTTCAACTGGATTTTGGGAGCTCAGTCCAGTGCTCCACTGTGAGTCTCTGCCTCTGCTACTCTCTGGATGAAGGTTCTATGGTGGCATTTAAGATAGTCATCAGTCTGACTTCAGGGCAAAGCCAGTTCGGGCACTCTCTCCTCTATTGCTTAGAGTCTTAGCCAGGGCCATCCTCTGGACTTCTGGGAATCTCTCCATTGCCAGGTCCCTTGCCAGCCCCGTATCGGCTCCCTCAATCAAAACATCTCTTTCTCTGCTCCCATTTCTCTTCTCCCTCTAGCTTGACCATCCCATTCCCTCAAGTTCTCCTCCCCTTATTTTCCGCTCCTCCCCCCTCCCCCCTACCTTCTGCTCCCACCAGAAACAGTTCTTCTGAAGTCCAATATCAGGGTCTGGATGATTTTCACCAACACAGGATACCAAAACCCCTACATCAGCAACACCAGGCTACAGACGTGCAGCCTGTCCCAAACCTGGATTCCCACACTGACAAAAGAAATGGCCAGTGTCTCCGCCAAGAGAGGCACATTGTGTGTACATCTGCCACATAAATCACACTTCTGTTCGTTGTCATGACATCAGATTCTCAGTCATAGGTTCCAACTAGTTCATCAGCAGCTGGATCAAGCTTTCTACTTCCTCAACAAACACAGGGAAACACCTTCCTGAGGGCCACTTTGACATCCTTATTCCTCAGAGAGTAAATGAGGGGGTTCAGGGTAGGACCGACTGCTGTGTACAACAAGGAAACCACCTTGCTATTTCCCCTGGAGGATTCGGAGCCAGGCTGTACATAGGTATAGATGACAGTGGAGTAATACAAGGTAACCACGACCAGATGGGCAGAGCAGGTGGAGAAAGCACGCCTCTTGCCCTCTGCAGAGCGGATGCGTAGGATGCTGGCAATGATGAAGCTGTAAGATATCATGATAAACAGAAAGTTGACTATGCCAAAGTAAGCATCTGCTATTATAGTCATGATGTTGTTGAGGGTGGTCGGGCTGCAAGACAGCTGTAGCAGTGTTGGGATTTCGCATAAAAAGTGGTGGATTTGGTTGGGGCCACAGAAATGGAGCCGTGCCATCAGGCCAGTGTGCACGGATGTGTTGATTGCACTGCTGACCCACACAGTGCCCGCCAGCAGGACACAGACGGGCCGACTCATCAGCATACTGTAGTGCAGTGGGTGACAGATGGCCACATAGCGGTCATAGGCCATGGCCGAGAGCAGCAGTAGCTCACCCCCCAGAAACCAGATTAGGAAGAAAATCTGGGTCAAGCATCCCTTATAGGAGATGTGGCTGCCCTTCCCCACCAGACCCTCCAACAGCTTGGGAAGAACAGTGGATGTGCAGGAAATGTCCAACAGGGCCAGGTTTGCAAGGAAAAAGTACATAGGGGTGTGAAGACTTGAGTTCAGGCTGATAGCCATGATAATGAGGGTGTTTGCTGCAAGACCCAGTACATAGAAAATGGAGAAAAAGGCCAAGGAGCAAGCCTGGAATACAGGACCCCCAGAAAATCCCTGCAGGACAAACTCTACCACATCTGTGTAGTTGTTCATTGCAATTTGAGACTGAGCCCCTGGGAGTTACTGTGACACAGCTGAGTGTGGTCAAGGAGACACAGGGTGTACAGCATCCATCATCTCACATAGGGTGCAGTCGGGTGTGACCACGAATGCTTGTCATGGGTGCTGTTGTTGTAGAAAGCACATAATTAACATGATGTCATCATCTCTCAACATAGTGCCCTAGTCTAGCTCTCTACTCTGCACACAATAGACCCAAAACAGAAGAACATCCTGTCTGTGGTGGGCAATATCCTTCTGTAACATCTGTTACCTTTTATATTGATCATGTCCTAAGATATCTCGAGACCTGGAACTCCTATAAACATATATGCTAGACTACTAGAACATACCAAGGGCCAATCTGTTCCACAGCACAGGTATTTTAGGACCTAGAGATGAGCCACCTTATCAAGGGGTAGACCAGACTTCTTAGATGCAGGCTGCAAAAACAGTTCTGGGGAAGCATGCTTGGGGGTCTGGAGCATGGAGCAGTGACAGCATTCCATGCAGTTGGCACAGATGGTCCTGGATCTTGCATAATGAAATGAACATATCACTTGTGAACACCACAACCGTCTATTTCTACCTGGCTACCCAAAGCACTCCTTGTGGATAATAATCCCAGTGAGGTAAATAGGCACCACCACCCCCTTCCCTGAGCCTGGTGGAAGCTTGTGCCTGCCAGAGATGGCGTCAGACTGTGCCAGGGCTGGAAATACAGCATGAAAGGCATGGACACAGCTTCGCCACAGATCCGAAATTTCTAAGCACTCACCCTTGCCCAGTCTCAAGTCTGTCTTCCCTACACCTCATACACCCATCTGTCTCTAACCACCAAAGCCTCTGCAAAAATATGGACCTTTCAGCCCAAGAAGCAGGTGGACTGATCAGCATGTAGTTATAAAAACGTTCTGCCCTGTCTAGTATCTCCATGGGACTGACTCCCAGACCGTTCCTGGAGATTCAGGAGTGGGCTGTGGGCTACATGGAAAAAAATGAATTCACACCAGGGTATGTCCTGAACAAGGAAGCACATCTTCACGCCTGAAAATGCACAGATCATGGTTCTTCTCCTGCAGTGTGAGCTCGATGCCAGAACCTGAGCTGTAGAATGAGTGATGGGCTGTGTTTCTGCCCACCACCCGGTTAGCTTTCCCCAAAATAATTACACGGAAACTGTATTCTTTTAAACACTGCTTGGCCCATTAGTTTCAGCCTCTTATTGGCTAACTCTAACATCTTGATTAACCCATTTCTATTAATCTGTGTAGCACCACAAGGTGTGGCTTACCAGAAAGGATCTTAACCTGCGTCCATCTTGAAGAGGAGAGCTATGGCGACTGCTTGCCTCTGTTTTCTTTCTCCCACAGTTCTGTTCTGTCTACTCCACCTATCTAAGCTGGTGTCCTATCAAAGGCCGAGGCAGCTTCTTTATTAACCAATGAAAGTAACACATAGACAGTTAACTCTCCTCCATCATTCCCCCTTTTTCTGTTTAAACAAAAAAGAAAGGCTTTCATTTTAACATAGTAAAATTACATATAACAAAACAGTTATCAAGCAAGAATTAGTTACAATATTTATATCTACTTTTATCTTTGATCATAACTAAGGAAAACTATAACTATAACTAACCATTCTTCAACTCCATCAAAGACTCCAGAAGGATATAATATTACCTAAGTAAACAAGAAGTAAGCAACTTCCAAAACTCTTTAAATGACAGAGACATCTCGCTGCCTGGACAGTCACCCAAAGTTCTTCTGTACCGTTGGGGCATCCATCTTCAGCCTAAAGGCCCATAGTATCCAGCAGACATTTCCATGAAGCAGGAAATTTCAAAGGCAGTTCAGTCATTATCTGCTGTGTCCTGCAGAATGTCTCGCAGACTCTTTAATGAATCAGGAACCCCGAAAGACCATCTCACCTTTAGGTAAGTTCAGCAGTCCTCTTTCTGTGGGTTCTTTGTGTCCAGTTTATGCAACAGTCCAGGCAAGAGCAGTTTCTTGCCCAAATGGCTAACCAACTCCATAAGGAATCTCTTCGATGCCCATCTTCTTCTTGAAGTAGATTGGTGCTGTCAGAAGCAGATGTGTCTCATTGTCATGAAAAGCCCTAAGTTATTAAAACATTAAATGCCATATTCTGTAGTCTTTGAAAGATATGAAGAATGCCTATCTAACTGAAATATATCTTTATATATCTAGAAATCTAACTAACATAACTACAAGCTTGACTATTATCGATGATTATCCATTAACACATAGACAGTTAATCCTCCTCCATCACTGAGCTTTTGATGCCTTCCCCCTGTCCCTTTTCCCACTGAAGAACCACGAAACTCATAGACCCTCCAGAGCAAATACTAGTCCCTGCAAAAGCAAAGCGGAGGTTGGTCTGTCAACATTCCCTGCAGATGCCAGATGGCCTCATCCAATACATAGGGCTTCTCAGTTGGCCTCCAAATCCCCTCTGTCTGCATCTCAACCCAATACAAATCTGCCTGCAGTTCTGGGTCACAGGTGGCTTTGAGCCCGAAACTCTGCACCAGGTTCACAGGAAACCACCATACCTCTCTCAGAGACCCAGATCTGCCTCAGAGACAAGTCAAAGGGCAAGGTTTCTGTTCAGCACTGACCAACGGCTCAGATAGGTCCCAAAGCAGACCCACGAGGCCAAGCTCTTAGTTAAAAACTGAAACTATGAAGCAAAGTGACTCTGGTAAAAGGTAAAAGATTTTTAAATATTGGAATAGATCAGGACAAAACCAATTACCTTTTGAGAGTCATCACTTACACACACGGGGGCGGGGGTAAACAGGGAAGATAGATAACCATAGGAAAGATGTCAGTAGAGGGAGGTCAGCTCACATGCAAAGAGAAGTTGTCCCGGAGTGCCCATCTACATCCAAGATGTCTGAAAGTCATCACGAACATGCAGTGTAGCCAAATGGTGAGAGTCCTGTGTCTTTATTGTTTGCTCTTGACCTTAAAGTAGGGCCTGCCCCATGGCGTGGACACTGAGATTGCTAGGGAATGGCCCACAGAGAGCAATTACCCACTCTGAGGTAACCATTAGTCCCTGTGGTGTCCATAGTACTTAAGCTGAGACACCAGGACCCTAATGAACAGAGAAAGTACACACCTGAGGCCATATTCACAGGTCAAGGACACTGACCCTTGTGGTGAGTTCTACCATGGGGATACCCTCAAGATAGCTTGGCTGAGAGTCATGCTCATTTGTTCCATGTAGGAAGATGGATTTCACATTAACATACAATTCCTGAGCATAGTCTATGGGTTTACCTCACCTAACTATATCATCTTGGTGTGACATAGTTCTATCAATAAACCAACACTGATTGCTCCATCATTGTATTGGGAGATTGAGCAAGGGCCACTCTCATTGCATTGCATGGGGAGTGTGGTCAATATGGGACATCACAGTTGAGGTTGGTCATGAGTGTACGCATCTTTTCATTGCAGTTTTCAAACCCTCTCATGAGGACAGAGTGTGTGAAGTCTGTGAAGATGAAGATCAGCATCAGTAAACAGGACGTCAGTCCCACCACGTTCTGTGGCACTGGGTATAGATAACAGGGCACCTGAGTTCTTAGCAGCAGAATGGCTTCCCTGCAGAGCCAGAAGTCCACTAGCAGGTGGGCAAATCATCTCTTGCAGTCATAGAACAGTGCAGACATTATCACTTTGAGAATAATCATTTTCAAAAATCCAAAAGAGCCAAAATATCCTTACTTCACAAACCAAATGACCACTGGCCACCTTAAGCTCCAAATCCTCCAAAATCCTTGAGCTCTGTCTATATACACATTCTCAGTCTCTCACAAAACCTAACCTATTCAGCATAACAGCAAATGCAACAGTTTCAGCACAACTCAAGATTTGAACAACTCCCAGAGGACATCAAGATGTGATATGATGCCATCAGAGAGGCCTCCATTGGCAGTTGGTGGGAACAGATGCAGAGATCCAGAGCTGAACATTAGGCAAAGAGAGAGCCTAACTTGGAGATCTCCATCAGGTCCTTCCCTTTGTAGCTCAGGGAACCCCAAGGAAGAGAGGGGAGGAAGAATTGTAGGAACCAGAGGGGTCAAGAACACCAGGAGAACATGATCCACAGAATCAACTGAGCAGGGCTCTTAGGAACTCATGATGATTAAAGAGACAATCTACTCCCCTATATAACCCTTCTCCCATATGCCTTTAAGTAACCCCAATAAAACCAATTGGTGTAAGAAGTTGGACTTTGGTGGTATCTGTGCTTTGGTCTATCATAGGTTCTCTGATGAGTGCCTTGGTTGTAGAACCACTTCCTCTGAGTTTACAACTAACCTTGCCAACCATTATTAGTCAGCCCAGAAAGGAAATGTCTATCATCTTTAATATCCATTCTTGTATCATATCTTCAACTTTTGAAAATCTCTCTTCCAAGTCTAGTACTCTATTGGTGAGTTTTTCTTCTGAGGTTTTGATGTTTCACTTCCTAAACATTTTATTTCCAGTTTTATCTCAGTTTGGGTTTTGTTTTTCTTTTTTTCTTTCCTTTTTTGTGTTTGTTTGTTTTTTGTTTTTTAGACAGGGTTTCACTGTAGCTTTGGAGCTTGTCCTCAGACTAGCTCTTGTAAAGCAGACTGACTTTGAACTCACAGAGATTCTCCTGCCTCTGCCTCTTGAGTGCTGGGATTAAGGGATGCACCACCACTGCCTGGCTAGTTTGGGTTTTCTTTAATCATTCTGTTGTTTGTTTGTTTTGCTGTATAAATCCCTCTTACAAGTCATGAATTGTAAATATATTCATTCTACCATTTGTGTTTTCAGATTCCAATAAAGAATATACTCACATACTATTTAAGGTTCTTGAACGTATTCATAATCATTTTTGAGTCCTTTTTTGCACTTCAACTATATTACATATCTTGGGGTCTGATGTAGTTGGGATACTGGATTCTTGTGGAAGCATCCTTGTCTCGACTTTAGGTATTT